AGATTTAAAATATATTCACATAACAAATTTTGGAAAAGCTCATTATCATTTAGTCAATAGAGGAATTTATTCTTTCTACAAAAATATCCCAAACAGCACAAAATCTCCAAAATCAAGAGATGTTCTGAAAACGTCCTCAGAACGTCTTTAGGATGTTCTGAGAAGATCTGTGCTGTTTGGAAATATTATAAAATTTTATCTAAAAAAAGTTTGTTTGACAAGCAGTAGCAAACCGAATTTTTGTTTTAATTCAATATTTGGAATTAAAATACTAAACTTTACTAGGACTCAAAATGTAGTTGGTAAACTCATTACTTATAATAAACTTGTAATAAATTTACGAATATATAAACTTATAAAATACTTAAAACAAGTAACATTTTATAAGTAACATTTACTTCAATGTAGTATGTATTTTTCTATGTGTAGGTATGAAACGATGATTACAGAACGAATTGGAAGAATTTTTATTGCTCCCGCAGACAGATAATCGATATTTATTATTTTTAGTCACGAGTACAAAGAAAGTAAGTAACTTACGTATCCAGAACTTACAGAAAGTGTAACGGTCAGATATAATTGCTAGTGTCACAAGATCTTATCGGTTCGTGACGTCTCATGGAAAAATTTTAAATCATGTGTATGTGCAGATATGTCTTTTCTATAAAATTTTAATAAAACAATAAAAGATTTGCTTGTATATGGAGAAAAATATCATTTTATTGCTCAAAATTATTTAATTTACTTTTCTTTTTTTAAATGATATCTTCAATAAAAATAAATTTTCTTTGATAATGGTTTTGAAATATATTTTTGTCACAAATTTGAAAAAACTTCATTATCAAAATAATAAATATAAATAATAATTTATTCTTTTTTACACAAGAATATTATAAAATTTTATAAAATTTCATTGAAAAAAAAGAAGATATTATAAAAGAATTTATTATAATAGAAAATATTATATAAAACTTTACCGATGAAAAAAATTGGTTCATTTTTATGTATTAAACAAACCGAATTTATTAGGATTCATTTTATACAACGTCTGCCAAAAGTTCCGGAATGGCTAACTATTTCAAAAAATAATAATTTAAAAAAAATGTTTTGAACAAAAGTTGTAGGGTTTAAAAAAAGCTATCAGACATTGATAATTGTTTGGCTTAGAATGACATTGAAAAACGTTATTAAGCTCAACATAAAAATCTTAAATGGAACCACCTACTTTTCGTTACATATTCTTATAGCTAATGTTGAGACGTTTCTGACGTACTGGTTACACAGATTTTTTCTATAAGAACTTTCCGAGTTATGGGGCTTGAAAGTTGTACACGCACATACACGCACGCACACACACACACACAGCAGAGAGAGTTTGGGAATCATTAAATACTATGGAAGAGACACACCATGGGGTCCTAATCTCTGCTGACACACACACACACACACACACAAGAAATCGGACCGTGCAACTCCACATGGTACACTTTGGATAATATTAATGCCGGCGGTTTGCAACATTCAAGCCCCATACTCGGAAAATTCTTATGGAAAAAAGTTATGTAACCAGTGTTTCAGAAACGTCTCAACGTAAGTTATAAAAATATATAATAAAAAATAGGGAGTTCTATTTAAGATATGACTTTAATAACGTTTTTCAAGATCATTCTAAGGCTAAACAATTATTAATGTTTGATAGCTTTTTTTAAATCATAGAACTTTGTTTCAAACATTTGATGAATTTATGATAGATAAAAAGAAATAATATTTACTTGATTGCAGTATATATTTTTTTCGGGGTGTACATAATAAGAGATCAACACTGCTTTTAGTTTCTGGTAAAGTATTATACGCACACAAACTAGGCGCAAATCACGGTCGTGATTTTTGATAGTAGATTCTATTTAGTTGGGATACATCGGGATTTTTAGTCGTTTTAGCCAAATAAAGTGGCAGTCCCAAATAAGCGAAAGAAACTCCAATCAGTTATATCGGGTCTAAAAAAAATTAATAATTTTATAATAAACTAAAAATATATAATATAATATGTAGAATAAAAATTTTAATTATTTAAAATAAAAATTTATAATATTTTATAAAAATTATAAAACTCTAAAATAAATTAATAAAACTCAAACGAAATAATTTACAAATATAATATATATACAAACATGTACCCATACGGAACAAAAATTTCTAATGGATATCTATGAAATCCATGATGGGGATTCGTAATCTCTATTAGATATCCATATTACTTCTTATAGATGTATAGTAGACATGATGTAATAGTTCCGTATTTCAAACTTCCATTTAAGTCCATTAGACGTCTCCATTAGACGTCTTCATAGACGTTATATAGAGCAACCACAGATATTTCATAAAGCTTGGTGAATGACTACTCTTATGGAAAAGTATTACTAGCACTTACCAAACAAGAATCAGTTTCGTGGGGAAGAGACGCTAACTTCAAATCGCTATCATATCGGGAATGTCCATCCAAGCCAACAGGCGCAAACTTTTAACTTTAGCCGATTAGCCGCCGTATATATATATATATTTTTTTTTTCTTTCTTATTTAATCTCCACAAATTTCTTTATTAGGATAGTCCATACAATCTAACTAATATTTAATTTTTGTTTAAATAATAAAAGAAAATTTAATATTTCTTATTTTACGTCGCAACGCTCATATATACTTTAACGTGGTTTTGATCCTGTAGCGTCATTCATCGTTTTTCAAATCGTACTATCCGTTGTTTGACTGGAATGATTGAACAAGAACTAATGGTGCCAATGATCTATGACGATATCTTAATAGGATATGCTTATAATATGCTCTTATATTACTCAAAAACATTGCAATGGTATATTTTTTGGCAAATATTGGAAATGATGAACAATAATCAGAGCACGACTGATATTGATATAAAATATATAAGCGACATTAGCAACTATTAACGATGATTACTTTTAGATTTTTAAATAAAGATTGTAATGAATTAAACCAGATATTAAGTTAGTTTGAAGAATACAAGATATTAAGTTTAGAATTTAATTTTTTTGTTAAAAGTAAATTATATATGAAAGTCTAACATTTATCCATAGCAAAAGTCCAATGGATGTCTATAATGAATTTGTAGATTACATCTGGAGATAATATGGACTTCTATTAGAAATATATCTGACATTCATTATAGAGATACTGCATGGAGCTGTGGAGGTTATATGGATGCCTAATAGATGTTCTGTGCGAACATAGCAAATAAGTGGCATTTAACATAGTGATATTTGAAATCTTTGAGCGCATTACGTATAAAATATTAGTACGTCATGACTGTTGATTATTTGACTGTTGATTATTCAAACATAATGTGTTCGACTAGAAATTTCCGATGATAATAGTATGCCTAAGGAAAGGGACATTAATGAGAAACTGAAACTAAAATCTACGTCTTAAAATAAGTTTAAATATGTGATTTCCCATGATACAATCTTAATAATATTGTTCTAAGTAAGCAATGCGTTGGTACAAATATGCATAGTAAATTTAGCTTGAGAACATAGATTTGTTTCTGTCGTTCGCGTTTTGTTCCAAATAAACGACTGATCCAATTAACGGGCGGCCCAATTAAGTGGAATCTATTATATTTCAAAGACATTCAAAATAAGAAAATGAGATCAGGATAATATTAACGTATTTGCAAGATTTATTATACTCTATTTATTATCTCTCTCTTTTTCTCTATCTCTCTATCTCTCTCTCTCTCTCTCTCTGTGTGTGTGTGTGTGTGTGTCTCCCCTCTCTCTTTCCTTCTGTTTGTCATTTTCTTCCTCTTGCAATATGTCTAATTTTTAAAAGATTACACTATCATATAACCCGGATGTTATAAAATAATACGCACAAATGTTGTTTTTCATATACATATACATATACATATACACATGAAGTATGCTGACCAAGTCACTTCGATCGCCAAAAGTTCAAACATATATGTGCAGATAGATAGGACAAATAAAAATGGCATTTAGACGCAAACTAATACAAGTTTTTTCATTTTAAACATAACATTCTATCTATGATATATTTATCTGTCTTACCCCTCGGGTGGCAGATGAGAATTAATGATTATCTAAGAGTATTTGCCAGCTATTTGAAAGAAAGAATCGTCAGTATAATTTTAATATACAGACAGAGCAAACTTGTATAATTTTAAATAGATCTCATAAAAGCAACTACCTTTTGGTTATTGCATAGAGACAAATAAGTGACGGAGAGAGATTATACGTGCGAAATATACTTGTAACATGTATAAAGAAGCTTGCAACAAAATAAAATGAAAGAGAAACGTACAATATCTGTCTCATTATTTGTCCCCTGTCCAATGTCAAACGTCTACTTTTCGTCCCTTTTTTCTACGTTATTACGCAGTGCGTAAAATCCTACCAAAAATGTATTACTCCATCCTCAATGGATGTGGCAAGTTGCAAGCGCGGCGACTATTAATCAATAACTGATTAATTGTCGGTGATTCAATTAAAACATAGGCAGATAGTGATACACCGATGACGCCGCGCTGGCAGGAAACAGGTCGCAGTGGATTCAGCGATAAATATCCCACCCTCAGCAGAGGAAGCCGAGCCGATGGCGATTGGGGGTCGTGCGGTGGTTCATCCTACGCTAGTACGTCCGTTCGAGGGAGCAGAGACGATACACGGCCGTTTTTTCATTGTATTTTGAGACAGTGATAGATAAGACGAGAAAAAAAAATTTTTCTTTCGATAACAACGCTTTCATCAGCCTCTGTGTTTTTTCCAATGGGAAATTACGGAACGCCCGTACGCTCTTCCTAACCCTTTCCTATCTCTTCGGGCTCTGATGACGAGGCCGCGGACCTCTCTCGATATACATTGCGTGCCCGAGTGCGAGCGATACGCACAGGAAAGATTTGTGGCACGGGTGGGGAGCGACGAGAGCATAAAAGCACGTACGAAGAAAAGCTCGGACGCTCTTGTCGTGTTCGCCCGTGGCCGTCGATCGTGTCACATCGTGTCACACTGCGCTTGATTGTGCGAGAGTGCTAAGTTCGGGGAAGAAAGAGGACGCCATGGGGCTCGCGAGGGCGGCCGTCATCGCCGCTTGTCTCCTCCTGTTCCTGGCAACTGACGCTTCAGGGAGTAAGTAAAGCGAAGTGTGCGACCTTCGTCTTCTTCTCATGACCTCTTCTTTTAAAGATATTCTGCGCTTCGTCCTTCGGACCCCCGTCTCCACTTTTCTCCTCCTCCAAGAGTGTATGCCGCACACTTTGGTCTGTTACTTGAAATTTGTTTCAAGTGAGATTTTCAACTTTGAACTTAGGCTCGTATTAATAGTCGTTACTTGTCTTACGTGAAATATTCAAATCTGAATTTAGAGTTAAATAAGATATTTATTTCAATTATATAACACGTGATATTACATTTGCAATTGCGATGCAGCTGAGAAACTCAGGTCTAATTCTAAATTAAAATCTGAATATCTTACCTGAAACAAGTTTCAAGTAACGACTATTAATACGAACCTTAGAGTTATATATGAATTTTCCAGTGGAACAGCGATTACAAATGTAATCACATATATATCTTTCATGTCGCATATATATCTTTCAGATTTATCTGAAAATTTTAGATCTAATTCTAAATCTGAGTATCTCACGTGAGATAAGTTTCAAGTAACGACTATTAATATAGATCTTTGATTTATTCGCTTGGATCAAGCTTGCTTATGAAAGTTAGTTTCTTTTTCTTTTCATTAGAGTAACGTTTCGATATATCTCTTTTCGTTTTCCACAATGATGCTCCAAAAAGATGTAAAACTCGTTTGCCGTAACGATACAGGATTTTCTATTCTAGATCGATTCTAGTGATTCTATTGACAGACTCTGCCAATGAAAAATACGAGGTATTATTTATTGATATATTTATTGATATATTTATAGATATATTTATTGTAATTTTCACACTTGTACATCAACGTGGAAAAGAGATCGCCAATCCAATAAAATCGTTCCAAGATTCGGAAACGAAAGGAAAAAGACGTCGCGTCCATTTCAATTCAAATTGTAAAACGATATTGACTATTGTAACTCCCTTAAAAGTATCGCTTTTAAATGAGCATATTCGAGACGAGACTTGATGGAAGTGACATAAGAAAAGTCATCGTGGTATTTTCACGGAGCATGATACATGAATATTTCCTTTTCCAGTTGTTTGCCCGAAAAATTTCAAATATCGTTTTTCAAATATCATTTTTCTCGTTATATTATGCATTTTGTAATTATTATCTAATCAAAGCTTTATATTCCCGAAGAGAAGAAAAATTTCTTGGATATTATATATTTTTACTCTTTTGTCGACAGGAATTCAATTAAGAATTTTCTTTGAGGTCACTTGAAATATTTCCACTCTATCAGTCGGAACAATTTCAAACTAACATTATTTTTCTCGTGATATTATACATTTTACAATTATTATTCCAATTAAAGTTTTATATTTCCGCAGAAAAAAAACATTTCTTGTGTATTGCGTATCTTTACTCTTTTTGTCGGTGAGAGTTCAGTTAAAAAATTTTTTTTAAATCACTTGAAACATTTACTCTCTATCTCTCTTTTCTTTTCATATAAATATAGATTGATATGCGTGAATGTTTCTTGGATATTATTCTGCATATACTCTCCTCTCTCTCTCTCTCTTTCCCTTTCCCCCTCTCTGTTTTTATCTCTCCCTCTTTCTCTCCCTCCTTCCTTCCCCCCCTATCTTTCTCTCTTTCTCTACGATAACATTAAGTAAAATCCCATAATTTCTGAAAATCGCGATCTACATCCTTGAAAGTGAACTAACTATACATTTTATCTCCGAACTAATCGAACCGCGAAACGAATCCGATAATCCAACGTTAAATTCTTGATGCAGCAAAAAGAGCTTATAAAATCGTATCTGATCACGTCTCAGTCTGCTCCAAAGCGAATCACGTCCTCGTGGGTCTTCTCGAGAAAGCCGGATGACTTCGATAAGCCTGAATTTTTGTATCGAATTGAAGATTAATAAGCAGCGAACTGATAAAAAAGGTCAACGTGCTTCGGGCGCGGTCAGGTTCGAATATCGTGAGGTTACTTGCTGTGTCAAGGATAGAGATTACCGGATCGATGTGTCGAAATTAGCGATAGTTTCATGCAAGCAAGAGATTCACGACTCGAGGCATCTCATCGGTCGTCGTCGTCGTCGTCGTTGTTACATCGTCATATCGATCACATCGAGTAAATAACAAAAAAAATAAACGAGAGACCGTCTCCCTCAATGCTATAATTATGTTGCGATTTACGAAAGCGCGCACGTCTCCGACACTTTCAGACCTTATTCGATCTCTGCCGCGATAGCCACGGAAAACATGTTGATTTTTCTGCATAAGCACTTTGCTCTTTTTACCACCTATTGCTCCCGCGTCGGTAACGGCGACTCACACACTGATATAACCTCTCTCTCTTTCTCTCTCTCCCCCCTCCCTCCCTCCCTCTCACTCTTTCTCTCTTTCGTCGGTATTTGTGACCTGTTATTTTCCATTCTATGTTACACTAGAGATTTTACTCTATTGTGCGTGCGATTAATCGTACTCCCAGCTTCGACCGCACAATTGACATACGTTTATTTCTCGATTTTACATAAAGCAACGCGTATGCAGAACTTTTCAACGGTCATCCAAAGTTTGATACTTTTTTTTTTCAAGAGAAATATAAAAGAAGTTTTGTATATCGACGCAACGCCATTACCAGATAGAATACTTTCTTAATGAGAACAAATACAAGAATTATTGTACAATGTTCTGAGAATTATTTTCGAACCACATGAATGCTAAAATATTTTTTTTCGTAAGTAAGAAAATTAAAGCTGGAGGATAGTAATGCGTTATTCGCAATATTGGCTAAGTTCCGAAATAGTGCTGACAGTACTGACAGTACTGATACAGTACTGAAACCAACATATTTATCGTTCTGAAATTGTCAGTAAATAGCAGCAGCATGGGAAAATGGAAACGCATTTACAATATCGTACAGTGGCTAGCAGAAAGAACATAATCTATACAATCTATAAAGAGACAAAGAACAAATTTATATAATTATGAATAAGGTAGCACTTATTTTACTTGGTGCACAAACTATGATGTTTCTTTTTGGAAAATAATAAAATTTTATCATTAAAAAACGAAGAAAATATTGCAGATATTTTTAAATTAATAACAAAACAAGGAGAACTTGTATTAAGATTTCTCGATTTTACGTAAAGCAACGTACATAGAATCTTTCAACGGTCGTCCAACGTTTGATACTTTTTTCTCTTCAAGAGAAGTATAAAAAAAGCTTTATATATCGACGCAACAGTACACAATTACCAAATAGAATACTTTTTTAACGAGAACGAATACAAAAATTACTACACATAAAAAATTATGTTAAAAATATGGTCGCTTTCCTTTCAGATAAAGGATTTAAAGAACATTTTAGGTAAGATTATCTATAAAGTAATTAATGTGATTAAAATCCGTAATCTTTAACATCATAAAATTAAAATAAAAATTATTTAAATATCCCACATAGTACGTAATATACATAATATCTCAGTAATATTTCCGTAATATTTCTGCGATATTACAATATTACGGAAATATTACTGTGATATTAGATAATATTACGTGCTATAAGAAATCTTCTTTTTCACAGAATATGACATTTCTCATACTTATGTCTATCAAGTTAATAGACAGACGTCATATTCATTACTGAACTTGCACTACCACGAAATAATGTGCGGAATTAGGCGGAAGTCAGCAATTCACTAGAACCTATTTTCGTGGAAAAGGTAGTAAGTTTTGCTATCTTACATTATATTGAAAATGATTTCGGAACGTGAAAACAGTATGATCAGCATTGTCAGCGCATTTCGGAACGCAGCAATTGTAACCGTGTTATAAACTTTTTTACAGTAATGACTTAACGGTATAATTTAGTTTTTCCGTCAATAACGATGACGATAATATTATTACATTTTTTTATACGAAATAGACGGCAACAAACCATAAAAAAGGGTCTTCAAAATTTTTTTAGAAAAGACAAAATCGTGACAACGTGTCACTTCTTGCGTAACGATGATGAGATAACAAGTTATTTTAAAATTTTTTTATGTATATACGAAAAAAAGGTTGTAATTTTTTTATACAACTTTTTTTCAATTTTATCCCATGTTTCTAGTAGTGCAAAAGCAGATTGTTAATAAAGTCTATCTTGCTAAGGAATATAGTAAATTTTTAATAGCACATTTCAGTTTCTAAAATAATATAAATAACATATATGAAACGAAAAGATAATCAATTATTACAAATTGTGAATCTATCCAAAAATTTTTTATTATAAAATTTCGCAGTAATTTGTATGATAAAATTCTCTCCGTGCAATATGTAATGATAACGATTTACTTTTAGAAGGTAACTTTCTAGACCTAAAACTAATTACTGACATTGTATGCTCTATTTAACATATTTGGACCACACATTCTGCACGTTCATTGTAAATATAAGTGCATTATTTTTAAACACATATTTAACTGTATAAGGATAACGAGTTTCTTTTTTTTGGATGGATAACGAGGTGGAGTAACGAAAAATTTTCTAAATTCTATTAGAATGAAATCTCATTCCAAAAGTAGAGTAACTACCGGATCATAAAAATTCGAGGGATTTTAACTCGTACATAGAAGCAAAAGATATTCTTGTTTGGAAAATATCTTTATTTTTAACATAGTAATCTTCAAGTGAGTTTACATAGCATTAAACGAAGATAACTGCAAGATTACTTGCAGAAGATTACTTGCAAAAATATATTATACATATATAATACAATGCGTGAAATAAAAATCTATGTTCTTATTATTCAAAAATAATTTTCATTTATGGATAACATAGAATATTGAATTGAGAATACGATATTTTTAAATGTCGAAAGAAGGTATCATTATCATTAAAATAATCATATTGTGCCTCTTATGGAAGTTATTATAATATTCAAATAAAAAATTGTATTATTGAAATTTAAAAATTCTTCTAACAAAATTATATATCATTACTTATAACACAATGATAATATTGATGA